TTCAAAACGCGCCCGAAGCCCATCATCCCCAGCGCGGCCAAGAGGGCCTGAGGCGCGCCGGGGACCAGAACGCCGCCTCCGGCTTTCCGCCTGGCCGGCGGGGCTGGGGGAAATGCATCGATTTCTGGCAGAAATGGGGCCGCTCCGGAGCTTTATTCTGTTCGCTTTGGGGAAACCACAGAACCGCGGGCCGCTCTGTTTGCAAAGCTTTATTATTGTAACAAACGTGGTAAAAAAAAAAATCCAAACTTTTTTTTTAAAGAAAATAAATAAGTTTGCAAATAACTTTAAGTGTTTAACTAGCGTCATTACCAACGAGTACAAAAGCTTCTAAAAATCCAAGAGGAACCCGAGTGGATCAGCCTGCAAAAGGAGGCACAGGAAGGCTGGAGAAGCAGCAGCAGCAGCAAAAAAGCAGCACGTCCAGGCTTTCCTTGCTGAAAAGGAAGCGCGCCCAGAAGAGTGGGTGGATTGTGGCGCTCTGCTTCTCACCCACGCGGTTTGGCCTTAGCCAGCCTGAAGACTAAGCAGTTTGGTTTGGCAGGTCTTTGCGAAGAGCGGCAGCATCTGCTCCTGGGCTGTCCCACCAAGGCGGTCTTGAGGCCTCTGCGAAAGGCAGCACCGGAAGAACCTCCCTCCTTCTCCCGCCACCCTGTGAGGACCCTTCATTCTCCGCAGCAGCCCCCAGAACCGTGACTTGGAGCGCTAGGCCTAGCAAGAAGCGTCTTAGGCGAAGATGCTGGAGCAGTACTAAGCTGTACTGCACCGCAAAGCGGTTGCTGTGCGGACTTGAGACCGGCTGGAGTTAAAGCACAGAGGACAGAAAACCCTGTTGTGAGTTCCTGAAGGCTCTTGGGATTTGTACAAAGGAAAGGCTCGATCCTCTTGATCGCTTGGCGAATACACCATTTCAAGCCAAAAACAAAAAACTCAAGCAGACGATTTGCTCATTCCCCACAAAACCCTCAAACTGCATATCAGAAGCAAAACATGTAAATCAACCCTGTTTTGCAAAATACCTAGTTACAGGACAGGAGTCGCTGGTTACAGAGTGCTGAATTTCTTAACATAAAATGTTCTACACCAGGCAGGAATGTGCCTAACTGGAGAATGGTGTATATAAATACCATTTTTTGGTTTGGAAATTAATGCCCTTAGGAGACCAAAGTAGAGGTGCTCTGCTACCTGTCTGCCAGTCTGAGTCAATGCAGCTGCCCTCCGAGAGTTGTGGGGTCAAGCCATGTGATGGGGCAGCAGCATGAGAGTCCTGTGTGTGCAGCACCTGCCTCCCACACCCCCACACGCCACAGAACTGAAGGTGGCTGAAGAGTTTGGGCATTGGCTAGGACTGAGAACAGTTAGGGAACACACACACACAACCCAGGAGATCTGTATACAGCCAGCCTGTGAAGCTTCCGCTAATTCTCCAACACAGAGCTCTCCAGACATGCTGAAGTTTAATTGCTGGCTGGGGATCATGGGACTTGAAGCTCCACACACCTGGAAGGCAGGAGATCAGTAAAAGCTGTATTAGTGCTTTCACTGAGCAGGAAAGGCCACACCTGGAATAGGGAGGTTCCTGAGCAAATGCAGCACCTCTCCAGCTTAACATTTTGCCATTTTACCAAGTTTTGTCAGTCCATGCAACCTAACTTACATTCTTTTAAATTTCCATGGTATACAGCTTACCCGTATATTTCTGATAAGCTGGAAAAAAAAAAAATTTTTTTGTTAGAAGCGGAGCACAAGCTGGCAGCAGACGCACAAGGCAGGTAGCTCAAGAAGCTTCTCTGAATGTTGCTGAGACAGTTTAAAATATTGCTCAAAATGTAGAAACTTGCTTTTTAAAAAAAATGTAAAAGCATGCAGAAATTCTGAATTTCAGGAATCCCCCTCTGCTGGCCTGAAACTGGAAGAACCGCCTTTCCTCTACGCTCCAGGAGGGGGCAGGCAGGATCTGCGTGACTGAGCATCTGAGCAAACCTGTGCCAACCTGTGCCTGCCAGTTAAGACGCTAGCAAAGCAGGAAGCTGGCGAGGGGGGCCGACGTGTTCCCTCTCAGCGGAGTGGGCTGTTTGCAGTAAAAGCTGCCGCAGCTCCTGAACTAGAAGCCCTATGAGTTCCCCTCCAGCCCTGTAGCCCCTTATTGCTAAAGGAGGGGGGGCAAGGTGTGTTAAGGGTGGAGCAGTTTAAGCAAGAGAGCAGGACAGGAGCCTGCGAAGCACCACTGCTGCCCCTCAACCCCCTTGTTCTCCCAGCTGGAAGTAGCACCGCAGGTGGATCTGTAGAAAACCCCCGGAGAGTTACGAGGATGAGAGGTGGGGACAGAGGTAGAATGTCCGAGTAGTACGCACAGTAGCGTACGACCACGTGGATGCGGACAGGAACAAACCCCAGGCCTAACCAAGCACCCTTGAATTAGGTGTCATACGTGTGCTTGGTAGCATGTAAATCAAGCTGGTGGAAAATCAAGAGTAGCTGTGAGACAATGTGCTCCTCCAGCTGAGGCCTCCCCTTCTGTAGCTGCCACGTGGGGCCGTTTGGGGAGCCTGGGAAATTTCCAAGTCCTGTTTCTGGTGGGCAGCTTGTTCAGTGCTCTTTCA